GCCCCCCATGATACCCCCCCCCACACATATTGCCCCCCCGGCCTCCCCTCACATAGTGCTGGGGCTGGGTAGTCAGTCCCCCCAAATCTATACCGCACACCATGACTGGACTGGGGGGCGGGGGTTTCAATCCTCTGTAACTCTTCAATTGAGCTCCAAATCCTCCCCCATGCTCCAAAAGATACCACCCTGGACACCCACATTGATTGCAAAAAGGGGCATCGCTAGACTTCCCCTCCAAAAAACCCCATTTCTCCTTTAATCACATTGGGACTATCTGAGATTTGCACAAGTCCCCCCCCCCAGCCCTTTGCTTGTGTTACACCATGTTGCTACGCGCCGTACGAGCGTGACTGCTCGCTGCGCAGGAAATCAAAGGCAGCGATGTGAAAAACAGGAGACAATTGCTTATTTGTTAGGAGCGCGATGTTTAGCTCTCGGGCTGGGCGAATCCTTGGGAAATGGGCTTTTTGCCCGATCAGGTCCCAGCTCCCTGAAGAATGTGCTTCGTGCGACATTCGGCACAAAATAAAAACCTCCCCCCGCCTTTAGGGAAGGAGCGAATATAGGGCTCATGTCGTTCTGCCTACGCAGCACCTCTCAGGGTTTTGCCAGGCTTTCACCCTGTTTCTAAACCGCTGTGGCCCGTTTTGGGATAGTTTGAAAAGCGGTTTTCTTCTCGCAGTAACTGAGTTCACACAAAAAGCCATGTTAAAAGTGGGTTATAAGTAGCAAAATGCACATTTTAGGAGCAGTATTAGGGGAAATCAAGAACCTTCCTTTTGCATCTAAACTTGTGCCCCTTCCCTAGGAGGAGTAGCATAAGTCACCAGGATAGTTATGCTGTTTTGCTGCCTTTTGCCCCCTGTGTCTGTGCATTGCAGTAATGAAGCCGGCATTTCTGTCTTCTGCCTTACGCTGCAATTCGCTGTATGTATCCACCCCTGGCCATCTTCATGTGTTAGGGCATAAACTGATCACCTGCTCTTTTAAAGAAGGAATTTCCTCTCGATGAGCGAGCACTGTGCAATTACAGTTGACGAATAGAGGAAGGACTGCACCTTTTCCTGAAACCTCTAGTGTCAGCCAAGCATACTAGGACTCTGCATCAGTATGATAAGAAGAGGGATATTGGGCTATGGGGGACCATAGACCCGATCTAATTTGGCAGGTGGTGGAATATGGAGATAAATAGCCAATAGGTTGGATAGCGGCAGGCCGTAGGATAAGGGATTAGATGGACTGTTGGTCTGGATAAAATACCATGTTCCTTATCAGAATACGCTGCATTCCTTTAAGTGCGTTAAATCCAGCTTCTTTGGCTCCCTTTAGTGCATGTGCCGGCCCAACGACGTATTGCTTTTTGGCAGTACAGTCAGGCCCTTGCAAAACTGCAGTGTGTTGCTGCTTTCTCTCAGACTGCGACACTGCACATGCCACAGATGTCAAAGGACATTTTAACTCTGGGCCAGGCAGCCAGCCAGCGCAGCGATCCAAGGCATGTTCCCAAAACTGAATCCTGTCCAGCCTTGCTTTTCTGCCAACCTGTTTTTGACCTTTAGCTCCCCTGACCCTAATCTGACTGAGGATGCCTCACTATCACACGGGTAGAGGAGCATCTCAGGATGGGACTCTGTATTCGAAAGTTTTCCATTATGGACAGTATATTAGAGCTTCTCAGATAACAAAGGTTCAAGGTGGCCTGTATAGTTTGGGAAGTCTAGCATTTTCTTCTTTACCAAGCTATTTTGGCTTGTAAAATACAGTCGTTAGTTTATCACATCATTTCCAAAGAGAAGATGCCAGACAGAAGCCTAGTGAAATCACTGAAGGGAGATCAGTGCCAATAAACTGCCCGACTACGGTAACACCTCGTTGGACAGTGCTTTATGGCTCTGTCTGCTCTGTGCTTTGCTAACTAAGCTGATTTTGAACACGGTTCAAATCAGCTAATGCAGCTCAAACACAGTAGGGATAGAGCCACTGAAATCACATTTCAAAACCATATACTATTCCTGGTCCCCTGGAGCTGCTTTCTGCCCCTTGCTGCTCTGAGTCCGTACTATAATCAAGATCAGATGCACAAGATTACTCATGAAATCTTTATTACCTGGTCTAAAAACCTTGACATTGATCACAGTCAGAAAAAGCTATTGTTCCTGTCACAGGCAGAAATCAGTGGCATGTCTCTTCAGTGGGCATGTCTACATGTGCACAATTACTGTACAGTAATTAGGTAACCAAAAATTACTGCGCAGTATGGGTGCACATCTATACTGCACAGTAACTATAGTGACTTACGCTTACTCAGGTGTAAATTTGCTACCTGCATGATGCAGGTAGCAAATTTATGCCCGATTAGTTACTGCACAGTAAGGCATGTGTAGATGCCTTGCTATGCATTAATACTGCTTGTGTAGATGGACTTGGGACTAACTTTAGGCCCAAGTCAGTCCACACACAGCATTACTGCTCTGTAATGCCTGCGTGTGTAGACGCTGGCCTAAAAAACACTTATTGTGGAGTAATTTACTGTGCGGTAAATTACTGCGCAGTAAATGCATGTGTAGATGCACCCAGTGTGTCCTTTGTTTCACTGCAGATGGTGTGGCTCCCGTCTTTGACTGTTGCTAGAAGCAGCCTGTGACTTGGATGCAAGTGGCTGTTACCATGCGCAGAACTCCAAGGAGTTTCGATGATGATGTTTCCATGAGATATATTTTAGCCATATAAGGTTTCCTCCAGGAAGGTCAGGAAGGGGACTAACAAGCCACTCGCAATGGCCCAAGAACAAAACTTGACTGTCATGCACAGGGAGGGGTTGAGAAGGAATACTGAAAAAAACACTTCCTCTGACAGGACTGGGAGTAAGAGAGTAAAAGAAGCACAGAAGTCATACATTTTCACAGCATGAGCAGGGAGCTGAGTTTTGCAAGCCCCACATGCGTGGCAGTGCATGTTTCTTGTCACCACTAGATGATAAGTGCCTAAAGGAAGCTGGTTCCTGCAGGGACATCTCTTTTCTACTCATCACTGACCCTGGCTGTCTTTCCTCATCATCACACAAACCCTGGGATGATTCAGAGCCCCGCCCAGAGCCCCATTCTTCTCCAGCAATGGGGTATTAGGAGCAATGACTGCCTAGGTTCAAAATATAGCAGAGATAGACATATTCTGCTTCACCTTCCTGAACAGGAAGAGCACACACCAACTGCTGAAGCTTCCTTAGCCTGACGGAGGGTTTTTGAACCCAAAAGCTTGCTTAATAACTATTCTCCAACCATTTGGGTTGGTCTAATAAAAGATATCAAATTCACCCAAGGAACCTTGTCTGCCTATGAACAGAAATGAGACATTTCTCATTGTAAGAGCCTTGTTGCATGGTAACTTGGGGTAGCTCTTAGAGCTCTTAACCCCTGGACTGTGTGCACATTAACACCTTAAAAGTTTTGAGGGATATATTTGGTAGCCGTGCTGGTCTGAGCCAAAAGAAATGCAAAGCTCTAAAACCCTTGGTTCAGAGATGATACCTTTTATTAGACCAACTAAGAAATCACAAAAAAAAAAAAAACCCTGCAAAAAAATTATAAAGATAACTTTTTTTTTGCGATTTCTTAGTTGGTCTAATAAAAGGTATCATCTCTGAATCAAGAATTTTAGAGTTTGGCGTTTCTTAAATGGTTTTAAGTACTTGTTATGTGGGTTAAAGTTACACCACTCTAGGGCAGGGGTCTCTCTCATCTGCACTACCCAGCTCCCGTTCCATTGCGATGTGGCCAGCCCCTAAAAGTCCTCCAGGATCCCAGGATATCTCCCACTCCTGTCCCTAGGGCAGGGACCGAATCCTGTCCTGGATCACCAGCCCTCTAGTGACAACTCACAGCTACAGCTGCACGTCCTGCCCCTGATCACCAAGCCTCTAGTAGCACGTCACAGCTGCACAGGCTGAGAACAGTCAGAGAAGATTTCTAGACTAAGGGTGCGATTGCTCCAAACTCCAAGCTAGGACTCAATTTAAAAAGCTTCATGAAGATTGTAGGGCTCGGGGAACTGGGAACGAGGCAGTGTCCCTTAGGTCGCTATTTTGAATTCAGCAGTTTGGTAGCTGC